CATTGCTTCTAGATGAGATGATATTACTGTATAAGTTAGGCTTACCTAATACCAGCGCTACTTGTCACATGTGTGGATATCACGTGATATGTCACATGACTAGACTTGGACCTTTGGGGCACCTAGGACTGTCAGTACTTCACGTACTGGTTCGTTCCTTTCTGGACAGCCTAGCGCTGATGTCATGTGATGTCCTAGTCACGTGCAGAGTGAAGGACGTGAAAATCTGTGACAGTACCCCCCCTTCTAGACAGTTCGTCCTGAATCTGGCTTTTTTCGTGGTTTCTGGAAGTAATTATCGCCTGTTGAACCAAATCCATGGTGTCCACGGGCTGAGGGTTTGAGGTAGTCAACCAGTGAAATGACAGGGGTGATAATACGTTCAATGATAAGTTGAGCAACTTGATCGCCCAAATTGACTGTGAAGTCATCATTTGTATTATTGATTAGCAAAATCTTGATTTCGCCTATGTATCCTCTGTCGATAACACCAGCACCTACATCGATGCCTTTAACAGCTAACCCACTTCGTGGCGCAATTCGACCATAGGTCCCTCGAGGTGTTGTAAAGTGAAGTCCTGTGGATACCAATCCTCTTGAATGTGCTCGGATGGTTGTTGATTCGGATGTGGCTAAATCCATTCCAGCATCGTCTTCATGGGCATATTTTGGTGCGTGTGCATTTGGATTGTCTAATGTAATTTGAAGGTCTCTAGAATGATCCCAATCATCTCTATCCTGATCGTATATCTGAATGGTATCAGTGGCGGGGTCATAGACTTGACCTGTTCTCCTGGGTGGAAAAACACCATCGACTGGATTTGTATCAATAAGAGATATTGGTTGAGGTGCGTCAGGATATTTTCTGTGAAATTCCTTGATGAGACGCGGAGATTTCTTCAAATTTGCAGCAGGTTCCCAAGTCTCTTCGGCTTTAGAATAACCCTTCCAATGCACCAAATATTGAAATTTGCCACGAATGACATGAGAGTCGACTATATACTCGACTTCCCATTCTTCGCCAGTCTTCTTTTTGATAGGAGGATGGGGTCTGAGTGTGCGGCCTGATATTTCATCTTCATGGTAGAGCATGAGCTTGGATGTATTGAAAACTGGATGAACACTGTATTGTCGTGGCATTTTGAGTCTGTATGTGACTGGTCCTAGTTTTTCTACGATTTTGAAGGGTCCATCTCTCCGTTGTGCCAGTTTGGCTCCCGATGTCTGCCAATCTTTAGTGGAGAGTAATACTTGATCTCCAACTTTGAAAGGTGCGGGTCGTACAAATTGATCGTAGTACCACTTCATGTGTTCAGCCGCCAATAGAATGGCTGCCTTCACTTGCTCTTGTGCTTCTACTCGTGCCTGCATTATGGAATCTAGCGTATGATGCTTTATGGAATCCATTATTGTTGGTTCTGCACATGGATGTCTACCATATTCGACAAAGAATGGGGAATTCTTAGTGACTTCTGAAGCCTGATTATTATAGGTGAATTCGGCAGTAGGGAGTAATGTGCTCCAATCTTTCACATGTTTGTCAGTATGGATACGGAAATATTGCTCCAGCGACTGATTTGTTCTTTCAGTTTGACCATCGGTCTCCGGATGATACGCTGAAGACATTGTTGATTGTATTCTAAGGAGTTTGCATATTTTCTGGAATAGTGCGCTTGCAAACTGAGTACATCTATCCGAGATAATTTGTCTTGGAAGACCATGCTGTGTCCATACCCTCTCATAGAAAGTACGAGCATGGTCTGATGTTGAGAACTCATTGGTGATTGCAAAGAAGTGCGCTCTTTTGGTCAAACGATCGACAACTACCATGATTGCATTGAATCCATGGGATTCTGGTAATTGAGTAATCAAATCGACAGAGACAATTTCCCAAGGTTCAGTTGGAACCTCATTTGGCTGTAATTCTTCGTATTTTGGCTGATTGATGTTCTTGTTGCGTTGACAAAGGTCACAAGAACCAACATACTTTTTGATGTAAGTGGACATTCCTGGCCACCAGTAGTTACGAGATAGCATCTCATATGTCTTCCATCTTCTAGGATGACCTGCACTGGTGGCTTCATGATGACGCTGGACGATTTCTCGTCTAAGTGATTCCTTATTATCTGCTTTTGGCACATAGACTTTGCCTCGGTATAGTAATATCCCACTTTCGAAGTTCCAGTCTTCGAGTCCTTTCGAGAGCTCTCGTTGTCCTTTCTTGAGTAGATCTTGATATGATCTGTTCACATTGTCGTCTTGTAGTGATTCCTTGATCTTGTCCACCAAATCATGATCTGTGACGACTGCAAGGTGGGTATGTTGAATAGCTTTAATCGCGAAATATTCCAGTTTGAGCAGAGTTTTGTCAGAATTATCAAGATTTACCCCCTCTTCATGATCTGATCTCCTGGACAGAGGATCCGCGTGATGCATTGATTTCTCTGGTTTGTGATGTAGTCGGATGTTGAACCGTGTAAGATATAGTGACCATCGAGCTTGCCGCCTCATCAGCTTTTGTGCTGATTTGAAATAGATTAAATTCTGGTGATCGGACCAAATTTCGACAGGGAGTGGATGACCTTCGAGATGTTGTCGGTATTCTTCCAACGCTCGAATAATTGCGAGCACCTCTTTGTCATAGATTTCATAGTTCCGCTCAGCCTCATTGAGGCTTTTCGAATAGAATGCGATTGGATGCCATAGCCCATCATCTTTGAGTTGTTCAAGGCATGCGCCAGTGGCAAAATCGCTGGAATCTGTTTCTAACCAGAATGGATGAGTATCATCCGGTAATGCCAGAATTGGAGCTGAAGTAAAGGCATGTTTGAGAGCGTTAAATGCCTGTTGTTGTCCTTCACCCCATACCCATTTCTGATCCTTTCGTGTAAGGATATTGAGTGGTCGAGACTTTTTGGCAAATCCTTCAATGAATCGACGATAGAAATTTGCGAACCCAAGGAAAGCTTGTACTTGCTTAACCTTTTTGGGTTCAGGCCAGTCGAGTACACCTGCGATCTTTTGAGGATCCATACGGACCTCACCTTTAGAGATAATCATCCCTAAGTACTCAATCGATGGTTGTTCGAAAATGCACTTTTCTGGTTTGACAAAGAGGTCGTTGTCTCGTAATCTTTTAATTACCTCTTTGGTAATCTTCCGATGTTGTTTCAGATCATTGGTGAAGATTAGAATGTCATCGAGGTAGATGATCACATGGCCTTCCCGAATAAGATCATCTAAAATCTCATTCATCATGTGTTGGAAGGTGGCTGGTGCGTTACAGAAACTGAAAAACATAACCGTGGCCTCGTATAAACCGTGATGCGTCACAAAAGCTGTTTTCCATTCGTCACCCTTGCAGATGCGAACATTGTTGTATCCCCATCTGAGATCCAGCTTGGTGAATATTGACGCGTTACTGAGCTGATCGATAAGCTCGCTTATTCGTGGAATAGGGAAGCGATTTTTCTTAGTTATAGCATTAAGTTTTTGGTAATCTTGTACCAGTCTTAGCGTGCTGTCCTTCTTTTTGACAAAGAATACCGGGGCAGCAATAGGTGATTTCGACTTTCGAATGTAACCTTTTGCTAGATTTTTGTCGATCCATGAATCTAGGGAATTTCTTTCCTCCGGGTTCATAGGATAAAGTTTGCTTGGTCATGGTAATTCATGTTCTTCTTCAAACTCGATTGCATGATCGTAAGGCTTTCGAGTTGGCATCCTTTCCGACGCTTTCTTGGAGAAGACATCATTGAATGAATGTAGATAGTCTGGTACTAGTTTTTCCCAAGATTCTACTTCATTAATAACCTGATCTTCTGGGCTGCCAGTGTTTGACTGGGGTGCCGCTTCTTTCAGGTTTTCTTCTGGTTCAGCATAGCCACAATCAGCTATGGAAAGTATCATGCAAGCTATTTGTTCAGCTTCGGGGTCGTCCATTTCAACCCACGAGATTATAGGATTTACTGCATCAATGTTGTGTCCATTGAACATTCTGAATGCAGTTGGCTCCTCATCTGCCACTTGTTGTGCTCATTGTGAGATTTCTTCAGCTTCCTCTCTCACAATGGCTTGTTGTTTTTTTACGAAGCCTCTGGTGGTGACACGTACTCGGGCATCGTGAGTATTTCCATTCTCCAGCTTGCCAGTTGATTTCTGGATTATGCTGATGTAAGTATGACATTCCAATGATCATGTCTAATTTCTCAATGTCCGTGACTAGCAGACGGTGGGTGGAACCATGATCTCTGACCTTGAGGTATGCTTTGACATAGTCAGTTATTTCACCATGTTTGTTTTGGGATCCATCAGCATTGTACACCTTGTACGTTGTATTAAGCTTGGAGGTTGCAATTCGATTGTTCTTTACGAATCGCTTGCTGATGTACATGGAATATGCTCCTGAGTCGACTAGAGCTTCGGCGCTCGATTTTTTGCCGTACACCCATAATGTAACTGGTAAATAGAATGATGATAAATTCGGAGACAAATTCTTTTCTGTTACATTATCATCCTCTGCGTTGTGATGATCTACAGAGGTGTCTGAGCCGGGTGCTACATGTACAGGTCTTATATAATGTTCTGGGGACTCTGACGAGCTGCCTACAGATCCCCTTTGAGAAAACCCTTCTGATCCCTTCGTGAAGAGCCCTCTCCCACCTTTCTTGATGAACTGGATCCATTTGCTCTCAGGCGCCTGAGCCTTGAGAGGATCGCGGCAAAATCTTCATCCGACTCAGATGCATCAGGCTCGCTTTTCGAGTGGATGCTGCGGTCGCTGATATGCGCAGCTGTCTCCTTACTCTTCCCCTTAGTCTTAGAGGAAGAGCTCTTCTTCTTCGGCTTCTTTTCTTCTTCAGTATCAGAGCTTTCGCTCTCTGCATCTGATGAAGCAGAATCAGATACTACCTGTCACGTCTTGGACGACTTGAATTTGTTCCTGGCATCATCCTTCTTCTTCCCGTCCTTCTTCTTCGCAGCTGCCTCCTTCTCCTTCTCAATCTGTTTTTTGACATGGTCCAATTTGAAACAATCAGTGCAATACTTGCCGAAGCGTTTTGACAATTTGAAGAACATCGGCTTGTTCTTCTTGCAGTTGGCGCAAACCAACTTGTCATCTTGCATGCTTCACGCTTTGCCCGATTTACTCTTCCCCTTCTTCTCGACTGCGTCAACCTCCATAGCATTCAGGTCCTTGGTTTCGGCCTTTGCATGGTGGCCTTCTCGTTGTAGCGATGTAAATATCCGGAGCAGGAATGTAAGGAATTCGGTCCACTTCTTAGGCCAGTTGTCCTTAGTTGTGTCTGCCAGCATGAGCAGCCACGTTTTTTCCAGAATATGTTTCTTGATCTTTTCGATCAAGTCTTGATCCGAGAAGCCTGTACTGGTTGCCTTTGGACGGAAGTCTTCTGCGAACTTTCAGAAGTCTCGATGGTCCTTCTTGATGAAGGCTTCTAATTCTGTTCGCTTCTTATCATCCTTGTCCAATGATTCGTATGTCGTGCGAAGTTCAGCGATGAACTCCGCCCAAGTTCCTGGTGCCTTATTGTTTTCATTTATTTCGGTAATCCAATGTCGCATGTATTCGCGTGCTCCTCCTTTCAGGAGCAAGAGGGTAGACATAATTTTGGACTCGTCTTTCGTATGTCCAGTATATTTCAACCAGAGCATTACTTGTTCGAGCCAATCATCGAGATTGACTCCGTCCTTATTGCCACCATATTTTTCTGGCTGGTCAATTTTTACGCCTTTACCCTTGCGACTAAATGACAGCTCGTCGTCGTCGTCTGTGTCGTCGACATTGTTACCGCCTTGCCCTGCCTTCCTTCCCTGAGTAGATGCCCATGCGCAAAGTCGATCATGTGATTTCTTTAAGTCCTCTGTCCTTGTTTGGAGATCCTTAACCTCCTCGTCAAATGCCATGAACGCTTCGTTAGTGGTCTTGTTTTCCTCAAGTAAAGCTGCCGAGGTTTTTTCCAAGTCTGCAATTCGGGACTCGGATTGTTGACGATGTTGGTCTAAGAAGACTGTCCGATTGTGAAACTCTGTGGTGTTACGTTCCATTGTGTGTGCTTGACGTTGGATAAGATTTTCATAATGCACCACTGTTTGTTGACGCATTTCTTCCACCACATCGTGACTAAGTCGACTACCCAATTCTTTACATTTTCGGATATATTCACATTTGGAGGCGCTGTGTCGGCGAGGGCTTGATGAATGATAGGATTCGAGGTTTGTAAAACAATATTGAGTCGTGCGGGAAGCTCCGGAGATGGAGCATGAGAAAAGCTTGGATCATTTGCAGTGGGGGTCGTCATTTTATAGTTCTTCCTCTACTTCGCGAAGATGTTCTTCAAACTCGACGATATGTCTGTTTGCGATCGTGGCTGATTGGGCAATTACTTGTCCTGAGCGCTGGTTTCGCAGCAAATAAAGGTCTTTGTATATGACCTTGACGAAGGGTTGCCACAAAAACCTAGTTTTATCTCTGACTGCGGGCCACTGGTGATTATGATGGATATCGCAAATTCGCTCGATTTCTTCGAGCCAATCGACGAAGCTATTGTAAGCTTCAGTGAGACGGTCTTCGGGTTCTTCCGTGCCAATGATAATATAGCAGATATGGACCGCGACGTTCCTCCAATCAAATTTTGGATAGATTTGAAGGGCGTATATATGATATATGTCGTGGTAGTCGATGTGAAACGTGTCCTCGTATGTAGCAAACACTTCGCCTGCTCTGTCCTGAAGAACTCATGGAATTGAATCCCAAAGATAGTCAAAAGTGTGACCGATTGGATTGAGGTGCTCGAAGTTATCAAGATTGTTCGAATCGCCAGATGAAGACATATACAAAGTAAATATTCGTATCTACAGCAAGGGTCACCCGGTGACCTGTATCCCTAGACGATATTTCTGGATAATATCTCTGATTATCCAACAAGCTTATCTGCCCTGATGTTTCCTCTCCTGGACGTAGTTGCAGAAGTCGTGAACCACGTGTTGGTGAACGAAGGAAAGCTTGAATTCTGCGATGTCAGTGCGGATGGATTCGAGCTTGAGTATGAGATGCTCGAGGTCGAAGATGTCATGGTCGTCAAGCTGACGACGGTATCATTTGGTGAGTAGGATACGAATCTGTCGAAGAGTGCCTTCGACGCACTGAGTCGAGATGATGAAGATGGCGAGAGGATAGATGAAATGAGACCCAGTAGCGGTCTCGACGTATGTCCCTTGATTGAGATCTGGACCAGATGGTCCTGCAGGTAGTCTCGGTCGCCTGACTAAGGGAGTCTGGATAATAGCAACTGCACTTGTGCCGCGAGGGGGCCGACCTCCCGTAGAAATATGTCCTGGCCTTGGCAGGGGTCTTATGTGCCGCTGCTCGTAGAACTCTTCTGGAGTTCTCGCTCGAGGATGATGGATGACACCATCGATGCTGCGCAATGCCTTGGTACGGCTTATGCTGGTAGAGTCAGTGACTGACAGAACGTCAGGTGAAGATATGACACCGCTAACGTGCGAGTGGATGTGCGAAGATGCAACACTGCAGCGAGTACGTTGGGCAGGCACTCGAGGCAGATAAGATAAGGAGACTTATTCTTCTATCACAAACTTAGGACGCAGAGCGCCGACTAAGCCTATGATCTTATGATCAAACACTTACTGACTGTTGTCGACGTAAGGATGAACACAAAGATGATCAAGGTAAAGCAGCGCCTTGCAAGTGGGCGCTGGTGACAGTATATGGATAGGCGTAGCAGAGATGAGAATAAGTCTGGGGGACTTA